CTTACCCCCCAACCAGGAAGAGTCGGGAGTCCTGGATTATAGTACAGGTAGATATTAAAATGGAGACAGAGCCGTTATTTAGCGGTGACAGGAATATAAATACGTGCACTAACCTATAAACTGGTATTTACTTCAGGAAGGTAAGTAATATTTTTCCTCTGATTGCTGAGCTGTCAGTTTAATGCAGCGTAAATAAACAGTAGGTGCCTGCTAGCTCGAAGTAGGAAGTGTTCATTCCACACGAGGAACAGATTACTGAAGCCTGATGCTCATCATGCTGAAACATAACTTTCATTTTACCAGAAAATACACCCTACCGTGGATGATTTTTCGTGCCTGATCTATTAATTAACTTAACTCTGCTCTGTCAAAATGTAAAGCAATTTGTTAAAATCATCCCAGAGTTTTGGAGTTTGAAACCAAATCAATTTAAAAAGCAAGAGTAATGCCTGTTCTGTAATCTGATCACAAATGCTAAAAATGAAGACTTAATATAATAAGGATAAACTATCCCAAACTGAAAAAGACAAAGCATATTTATATAGGGAATTTAATAATCTGGCTTACTAAAGTTCCCCCCCCCACCCCCAGCCTCCTCTTTTGCTAATTAAAAGCAACTGGCAACTTAAATATTTTGCAGCCTTGTGCTACGTAGGTCCATTTAGTATGTATGCTTATTCTGCTCTCGGAAAAATCTAGAGGTAAATCATTCATAAAAATCAAATCACACTCCTTAATTCTACTAGAAATATTACTAAACTCTCCTGAGAGAAGTGGCAAGTTCAAAGATCAAATGATGATAATCTTCCTAACGGCGTTCATGTAAAATGTGGTTTTCTTCCCATTTTATATGTAGCACAAAGCTGTGATGACATATAGCAACTGATTTTCTCCTTCCATACATGTACCGAGAAAATATTTCATGGCATCATTTAAAATGGAAACTCATCTTATCTAAAAAAGTATAAAAAGCAAGTTGGGGAGGTTTCTATTTAAAACATGAACAGATTCTGATAATTAGTGAGTAGATTATAAGGGGAAAAGAGGTGTTTAAAAATAATATTTTTGCTTTTGACTACAACATGTCTAGACACAGTCTGAAGATTGATTCAGTCTTACGCATTTATTTTATATACTTCATCAATCCTAAGTACTAATATAAGAGTCATCCAAGACAACACGCAAGGAAGAAATGATGTCTTTATGTAAAGGGCATATCTATGTATGGCCCTTTTGGAAATTTACAGAGCAGATGAAAAACCACTGGAGTGCTTTATAGAGTCCCTGCTGTATATCCATGTTGTGTTAAGCTTAATAGTGTTTGTAACCAAAAGATTTTTAGAATAATGAGGAACAGGTGCCTGTCACCTGACCTTTTAGGCCTAATTTACAATCCACAACCTGTCACATGAAAAAATAATTGAAAATCTCCTCCAGATATTTGTCTTTGCTAATTTAATGCAGTCTTTCTTAACCATCACTCAGCACATCACATCTCATTCAACTGCAGGTTCATATAGTGGCAACAGACTTCTGTGCAGAAATAAACCAACATTCATTTTGTTGCTTTTGTTTAAGATGCTGGGAGACAAAAGAATGACTTTTTGTAGATTATCAACCAAGAATATATTAATTTATTACAACAACTAAACAAAAGGCATTCCTTTTGAATACTTTTACATACAAAGAACTATTATTTATTACATATTTCAGCTTGTGGGAAAATGAGGAATGCATTGATTCTGGAAATAACTATTCAGACTTTTGGAAGTTCTTGAGTTCTTCTTTCCCTACCTCTTTTCTTTCCCCTTCTCCCCCATGTTCGACCAATCCCCACCCCCCCCACACACACACACATTTTAGGGCACCCGTACTTTAGGAGGGAAATACGTATTTGTTCTTTTTTTCATCTCTCACTTGTATTCATTATTCAGAAAAGAATACAAAATTGAGCAATGATTTTTATTTCTCGTGTATAATCTTGTTACACGTAGCCATACTCAACTTTAACAATGCCTTGAATTTTATAGCCACTGTTTACATATTATGTATTACATATGACTGAACAACTCTGCATTTAAAATACTGTTACCATTAGAAAAAATATGAAGTAATAAGTGTCAAATGGAGATGAAGAATAAACATGCTTGGTATATTAATAAAATGCATAATCATTTAATATGTGCACAAATAGGATACATATTTTGCTCCTGTTACATTTTACATAGTACACACATTGTCTAAAGTGTATTTAACAATGTGTCTAACCAAGTTAATTAAAGTATTTATGCTGGTGATTGTGTTAAACACTTGGAGAGGTAGTGAAAGATACAGTCAGTTACTTCTGCTAACTAAAGTTGAAATTATGCACTTATTATAACCTTTTCTAACAATGTGAGAAAAACAGAGTAAATATATTAAATTTGTTTCACAACAGATGCTTAGGTTGTTAATATTTAAGATGCCTATTCATGCTATTCCTGTCTGCACATTTGTCAAAAATGTAAGCTTGAATGCTAATGTTTGCCAGCAGACTGAAGCAGCCAGTATATGAATGTACTACTGTTCTACTAAAATAATATGCAATAGAAATAAAGGACTGCTGCTAAATCATAGCACCCGCACCACACAGCCGATTACAGGGTTTTAGAGCAAACACCTCAACGGTGCTTGCTTTCTCCAGTCCTAAGGTATGGGTTTTCTGCAGCTATGTTCAACTATAAAATAAATCTTATATTCGTAAATCTCAGAAAAACCCACTTTAGACAGAGTAAATTTCAATAAACTTTCAGCGGGATGAGTTACTCCACCAGCAGGCGAGCATTTCAGGGACTGCTGAGGACAAACCCTGAGACCAAGCAGTCAGGGTTAACTTACTCTTACCCCCTTCTGTGTCCTCTTGGGAAAGTGAGGTCCCCTGGCCTCCTCGGATGCCAGCATGGAAACCCCAGTCAGTCGGGGGCAGAAAGGTTCTCTCCTGAGAATGGGGCATCTTTCTGTTTTCCCTCTCTTTTTGCAACCACGAGGAATCCAAGTCTTAGAACATTGGCCTGGAACTCCCGAATGCCGCCGTGAAAGTTCGCCGAGGAAGGGCGCAGAGGTCAAAGTTGCCAAGCAGGGCACTTTGAGAGGCGACCCTGCGGTTGACACTTCTAAGTGAAATTTGGAACGCCCTAGTGGAGGTCCGGGCCAACAACCTCCAGCAAGAGTCCTACACCCCACTCTGTCTTCTGGGGTCCTCCCTAGAGTCCTGCTCAGTGCCCCTTCCACTCCCCAGACCTGTCACCTGCCCGCTAAGTGCTCCCCCCGGGTCTCTCAAACCCACGCTCCGTCGCCCCGGAAGCCTCGGCAGCCGAGCGCTCGGTAAAGGCCGCCACGCTCGGATCGCAACCGCAGGAGGGAGGCAGGACGCAGACCCCGAGGCCGCACCTGTGATGTCTCGTCCCCTGCCAAAGAGGGACAGCACCTCTTCCAGCCTCCAGCCCATCTCGAAACCCACATCCACCCCAGGACCCCCTCCCGCCCCCCAGGATCAGCCTCACTACCGCTGGCCAGGGCTCCCAGCGCCGAGCGCCGCGGCTGGCAAACTCCCGGCTCCAACTTGAGCGCCCCGGCGTCCCACCGGCTCCCAGGATGGAGAAGTTGCCACAAACTTCCCAGGCCCCGCTCCGGGTCGGCCGCGCCGGCGGGGCGCTGGGCGGGCGGAGGCGGACGGGGCGGGATGCGGGGCCGCGTCCACTCCCCAACCGACGCCGCCCGGCACCTTCCCGCGCGCCCGGCTCCGGGGCGCCCGGAGCGGCTCTCCCCTTGCCGGGCTGGCTTCCTCCGGTCCTTTCGACTCCCCTTTCTCTTCCAAAGGGGGCAACCCCGACGACTCGAAGGCGTCAGGTCCGCCAGGACGAGCCAGGCAGGTGCGCGGAGGTGTGAGCGAGCGCGTGCGCCCGCACCCCGGGCGAGCCCAGGTGGCATCCCGAGGTCCCCATGCCGCGGGCTCTGCCCCGCTCCACCCGCCCGCCCCTCCGAGGCCCGGCCGCGCGCGGAGCAGGGGCTCGGAGCACCCCGCTCGCCCGGCGCCCACGCGAGGGGCGCCGAGCCGCCCCCAACCGGGGGGCACCCGGGGCGGGTGCCACCGAGAAGTTTGGACCGATTCCGAAAAGAGAGCGAGGCAGAGAGAAAAGAGCAGGAGGCGGGGACGGGGAAGGGCGCAGCGCAGGGGAACTCACCCAGGCATGGGCGCGGGGGGCGGCGGAGCGGGCGGGCGGGCGCGGGCCGGGGCGCAGCGACGGCTCCCCGGGCGGGCGCGCCGGCGAGGGACCTGCCGGGCGGCGGCTTCTGCGTCCTGTGCCGCCGCCGCCGGAGCTGCGGCTGCCGCGGAAGTTAATTGCAAGTTGACTTCAAGTTGTCTCCGTTCCCCATCCGAAGTGGGCGTTTAAAGGGGAGAGCGAGGCGCGCAGCGAGCGAGCGAGCGAGCGAGCGCGCGGGGCCGAGGGAAGGAAGGGGGGGGAGGGAGGAGATGTTGGCGGGGGGAGGGGGAGGGGGGAGGGGGCGGCGGGGGCGGGAGGGGGAAGGGGCCGGCGGGAGCCGAGAGCGGCTCAGCGGTGGCCGCGCCCGCAGTCTGGAGGCGCGCCGGAGCGGCCGGGGCGCCCCCCGCGGGTGCCCGCCGCCGCCCGGGGCGCGCATCCAGCCGCGGCGCCTCCGGCCCGGCGCGCTGCGCCCCGGGGCTCCGCGGAGTCCGCGTCGCCGCCGCGCCCGAGCCGGGGCCGCGCAGGCCGGCCCGAGGGACGGCGAGGGCCCGGCCCGCCTCCCCGGCGCACGCCCGGCTTCTCCCCCTGGCGGCGGAGCCCCGGCGGCCGCCGGCCACCCTGGGCGCGCCGGAGCCCGAGCCGAGCCGAGCCCGAGCCGCCAACGCCGCCGCGCGCGCCTCCCGGGCTCCCCCCCGCGCGCCGGCCGGGCTGGGGGGGCGGCGGGCCGCGGGGACCCGGGCGGGCGAGGGGCGCGCACCGCTGGGCGCCGAGGAGCGGACCCTCCGCCGCGCGGGGTAAGTGTGGGCGCCCGCGAGGCTCCTGCGGGGCGCCGCGCGCGGCTCGACGCCCGCCAACCCTGCCCCCTCACCTCTCCCGGGGCCCCCACCTCGCGCACCCCTCCTCTTGCCGCCTGCGGCTTCCTCTTGTTGTTGGTTGTTTGGCCGGGCTTTTTGGGGGGGCAGGAGGAGGGGGTGATGGTGTGTGCGGGCGGAGGAGGAAGTCAGGTGAAAGGCCCCCACGCACCCCCCCACACACACCCCAACCCGGCTGCTCGGGGTGTATCGCTCCCCAGGAGGGGCGTATCGCTCCCCATTAGGGGCATGTGTCCCCAATTTTTTTCTCTCGTCTATGTTCGCTCGCGATGATCTTTCCAAAAGGGCCTCCTTGCCAGCCAGCCTGCTCTGTCCATCTCCCTTCAGCGAGCCCTGCGCCCCCAGCACCTGGGGGGTCCCCGAGCGCCGCACCTCAACAGAGGAGCACGTGGCGGGAGGATGAGGAGGAGGGTCCCTCTCGCAGACCCCCGCGCCACCTCTCTGCCCGCGGGTCTAATGTTTATCCCGCCGTCTGCTGCTGCTGCTGTACTTCTTTTCAGCCTACTGGGGACAGACGCCTAAGATGAGGTCCAGTTTCTCCGACAAGCCGGCGAGCTAGAGGGCCAGGGATGAGGATTTGACGGGGCGGCGAGAGGGCTGGGGAACTGTCCCCAAGGGGGGCTGACACTCCAAAACCCTCTGCAAGATCCCAGCGACCGAGGTTCAGGACCCCAGGCTAAGAGGAAACTGGATCAACTTTGCCCCTCACTTTTGGCCTTTTTCACCGCCCCCCGCCCCCCGCCCCCCAACTTCTGGATCCCTCACCCCACCCCACCCCACCCCACCCCTATCCCGCCCCCTCCAAATCCAAGGAAGCTAACAGGTCTTTTGTGTTGTTTGGTTTGGGAAATTTGCATGGAGTATGACAACAAAAAAGGACTTCTGTTTACTCAAAGTTAAGGGATTTGAAGAAAGCAAAGTCTTTTTCTTCTTCGTGTGTGTGTGTGTGTGTGTGTGTGTGTGTGTGTGTGTGTGAGATTTGTGTTGTTAGCTTCATAGCATGAACTGCAAAGCATCAGTTGGCAACAATAAGGACTGTAGAACCGCCGCAGTGTATTTTTAGAAGCTGCACTTTCTTGAGCTCCTTTCACACAAGGCTTGCTCTTTCATTAAGTCCCCATAAATAATTGTATTTAGAGAGAAGAAAACTATGCAAGCTGGAGGGAGATTGCTAAGATCTCCATCCCGCCAGCACAGAGCACTGTTTGGAGTGAAGTTCCTGGAAAGTGACTGTGGGCTGAGAATTCAGTTTTTCCTAAAAGCTCCGTTAGGTCCTCTTCTGTCAGATGTCTATGAATAAAGCACGCTGGGAAAATCCTGATATCCGTGCAGTCTTATTTTATCTTTTACACAGTGGTTGATTCTACTTTCAAACCCTGGTAACAAACACATCAACTGTGCTGTATTTTTGTGTGTTTTTTTTCTAAATAAAGGAGAGTAGCGCATGTATTCATGCTGCTTTCTGATATGCCAGTTCTTTTCTATCAATGGGTATTGAATTCACTGGAATTGATCCGTCTTTTTCAGTGGATTGTCATTTTATGCATAGGCAATTCCAAAGACTTAGGACTGTAAAAGTGTATGAATTATTATTGTTCTTCTAGAGAACTAGCTTCTCATTTTTAAGAGGTACGTGCCCACCTTAATTCCTGATTCTGTAAAGCAAAGCAAAAATGGCATAAATGACTGCAATGGGCAAAACAAAGTAAAAGCCAAGTTGTCCCTCCTAGATCACTTCTGCCTAGGCAGGACCCAGGGACACCAACTCCTCCTGCCTTAATTTACCAAAATGTTAAATTGCCTAAAACCCGTACCAGTGTTTCCATCTGGGAATGACATCAGGTTTGGAATGGAAAGAATAAATTCTCGGTCTTTAATTACTGCTTATTAGCAATTTCTTGTAGCAGGCAGCTGATTCTCTAATTCTGAAAGCCTGGAAGGAAGCTTCACGTAAATTGAAATACAAAAAAAGGATTGTTGTTTCTCTCTCCTCCATACTCATCTACTCCCCCAAGCTACCAACTAAGCCCCCAGAATTTAAGGTATGATATGATCCCCTATGTTAAACCAAAGGAACTTTTTGCCCCCACCTTTTGAGTTTTTTCCTTCAAATGCTCTTGTACAGAGAGTTCATAGACTCTCACAGTTTGGAATTACATGGTACCTGGTACAGTGCATTCAGTAGAGTAGCTTGATCACTTACCTAAGGCTTGCCCCTAGCACATAGTAGGAATACATATATTTAACTGAATTAAGATGTTATGGGAATATTATGATTGGTTACAAATTCAATAGTACAGTGCAACGGCTGTAGTTTTTTCTTTCTGTTTTGTGGAGGAAAAAAAAAAAAAACATGTACCTGAAAGTGGTTTGAGTAATACATTTGTGCTCCCAGATTTTTTAACAAGTTCAAATGTCATTTAAAGTTTGAAAGACAAGTGCATCTGAAACATACCCAATGGTTAATAATAATAGCTATTGTCAAAAGCTAATTATCTTCATAGAATAGATAATAAAATATTGCCTGCTAAGTAGTATGAAGAAGACACAGAGAAGGGATAAGACAGCCTTGGCTTTCAAGGAACTTACTTGCTGGGAAATAACACTAAGGCATGAAAAAGAACTCAGTGGATTGGTAAAATGTTTGCATCAATGTAATAGTTGAGAACATCAATTTTTTTTTTTTTTGAGGCCAGGGGGAGTGGTTAGAAGGTATGTCTAAGGTTAATTTGTCCAGTTAAACCTGTAGGGCCATCAAGTACAGACATCTTAGAGGAAGGCGTACTCATCACTTACCTCCATAAATTTAGGCAGGGATTTTATCTGCAGAATATTTACCACAGAGTAGAGTTCATTATATATGGTGTGAATGAATGAGTAATATCTCAAGTAGAACGTTCCATCTTTGTACACTTTGTTAGATTTTTTTCTTAAATTGCACAGCATCGGTCTTTCTGAAACTTCCATCAGTCTTAGTTCTGCCATTTGCAGCAAAATGAGCAAATTCGTTGTATCAGGACAGGCTGTTTTATGCCACAGTGACAAACGGTTGCAGTTTGTAGTGGTCTGTACGGTCAATGCCGTCTTCTTGGTTGTGTCAGGATACATTGCAGGGCTGCTGGGCTGTCCCAAGCTGACAGAACAGCTGCCATCTTGAAGGTTTCACTTGCCTTGCAAAAAATGACAATCACGGGCCTCCCTGGTGGCCTAGGGGTTAAGCCTCAGCACTACCACCACCGACCGCCAAGGCTCACTGCAACAGCCTGAGTTGGAGCCCTGGCCAGGGAGCTAACCCACATGGCGCAGCAGACCTCTCCTGTCTTACCTGCTGTTCCCCTCAGCAGGGTATTTCAGTCAGCCCGCCTGTTCTGCTCCCCACTCTGTCTCTGGTTAATCCTCTAAACGCCCACACCTCTGTCCTGCACCCTAGTTCTTCTATAAATGAATAATTTTTTTTTTTAAACGACAGTCACTCTGGAGGGTCTCATGCGGGCATATGAATGCTGTGGCCACAAAGGACAGCCACCATCGGGTCTAACAGTGAACTGACAAGGGCTGGTTGCTGGGATCTATAGACTTACCACATTGGGGCCAGACAGTGCTGCCTGCCTTCCGCCACAAAGTAGAGAACTGGGGTGCCCAGCTCAGATATTACCATACTGGTTGTGACCCTTGTCTGCATGATAGCAGCAGCCAGTGATCCCCTCCTGTCACCTGTGGTTCAAGGTCAGCACTGCCAGAGTGGCCACCAGCTTATAGGGAGACATGTAACTTCTTTCACCATCTACTCTGTTTTTGCATGCTACACGGACACACTCCCACCCAGTGTGGTACCCTGTCTCACTTCATATACTCACTGATATTACATACATCTTATTTCCTCAAGACTTGTTTTACTCAAAAGAATACAGTGACCAGGAACTTTGAAGGACTGTTAACCTGAAGATGATATGACCATTGTTAAAATTTGAGATTCGATCTTGAGTAGTTCCCTCCCTTATTGATGGAAAATCTTGTAACACAAAATGATCTTGGAAGCATTCATTCATTCATTCATTCATTCCTTCATTCATTCTTCCAATTTTTCCTTCATTCAGTAAATATTCATTGTGCACCTACTAGATGCCAAGCACTCCATTAAGGACAGGCATTTGGAGGTGATTAAAAATTCTCCTCTACAAGAAATGAGGTTTCTGATTGGGCAGACAGAAAGAAAAAGTCATTGCAATACTAACAGAGGCACAAAGTGCTGTGGGAACACTTAGCAAGAAGTGGCAAATAGCTATCTGGCAGGATTTAGGAAAGTTCCATAGAGAAATTGAACCAAGTCTTGAGAATATGCCTCTAGGTGGAAAGGAAGATGGAGGAAGGATCTTTCACGCAGAGAGACTAGCACGAGTCAAGGCCCCCTGCGTGACAAAGCTTATTGAAAAAACTACACGGAATTCCGTGTGGCTGGAACACGGGGTGTTTATGAAGGATGACACCAAACAGCTCCATATTGTCAAGGACCTTGCAGATATTCTCTGGAGTGTAGATGTTATCCCTCATATTAGGGATTGTAAACTCTTATGTCTACCTTGAGCCAAGAGTGGGTATTATAAGTGAGCAGAGCAGACTAGTTAGGCCATGGGTAGTATTGGACTTGTACCGATCTAGAGAATCTGTTCTCTAAGTGGGGCAGCCAAAGTCAAAAATCCTGAATGTCAGCTCTTTCAATTTTTAGAGAGGCTGCAATGTCTCCTGTGTTGTGAGTGAGAGTCACCTCTGGTTTTCAGGATGGAGCTAGCACCATCAGATCTGTCTAGAAAGATCACTGTGATTACAAAATGCACAGGAAAAATCTAGAGTCTGGGAGGCTGTAGCTGATATTCCATGACCATTTGTGGAGTGATGTGCAGCTCTTTATAACACTGCCTGTT